TGATGTCATGTATCAAGGGCGCCCTTCAGCGAAGAACTGGCTACAGGTGTGCATGCCTGCAAGCGAGCGTTTCCAACAGCTTGGAAAGACAGGTGCTGCCGAAGTGGGGGGAACTGGGTCCCATGCAGGTGAGTTCGTCACTAGTCTGAGCAAAGGCTGAAATCCACGTGTCACTCCCAGGCCCTCGCCAGGTGACTCGGTCAAGCATCATCCTGATTCACCAAGATTAAGGGTTCGATCCTGGTCAGGGCACATACAAGAATCAACCAATGAAGGCGTAAATAAGTGGAACAACAAACTGATGTTTCTCTCTCCCTCTCTTCCTCCACCCCCTCTAAAATCAATAAATAAAATTTTTAAAAAAGTGGTTTCCAAGCTGAAGCCTGGTAGTGGATTTTATGGAGAAATGAAATGAGAGAGGCACGTCAGAAGCTCAGTGCTATTTTTTTAAAATATGTTTTTACTAGAGGCCCGGTGCACGAATTCGTGCACAGGTGGGGTCCCTTGGCCTGGCTGGCAATCGAGGCCTATCAGAGGGCCGGCCAGCCTGGGGGAGGCAGGGGCCACAGGAGGTTGGCCAGCCAGCACCCCTGATCGGGGGCCATGGGGGTCCGGCCAACTGGGGGAAGGGGTCGGGTGGAGGAGCTGTGGGAGGTTGGCTGTAGGAGTGCACTGACCACCAGCGGGAAGCTCCTGCATTAAGCGTCTGCCCCCTGTTGGTCGGTGCGCATCATAGTGACTGGTCTACTGGTCGTTCTGGTGGTTTGGTCTTAACAGTTGCTTAGGCTTTTATATATATGGGTTGATTTCAGAGAGGAAGGGAGAGGAGAGAGAGAAACATCAATGAAGAGAGAGAATCATGGATCGGCTGCCTACTGCACACCCCACACTGGGGATCGAGCCACAACCCAGACATGTGCCCTGACCAGAAATCAAACCCTGACCTCCTGGTTTGTAGGTTGATGCTAACACACTGAGCCATACCTACTGGGCCTGGTCGATGCTATTGTTAGTTTGAGTCAGGTCTGTCCAGTTTGTTGCTAAATCTGACCTACTGAAATTTCATCTGTGCACAGCCACCCTTAAAGAGAGATTTACTCCTCCATGAACCCAAAATACCACTGCTTGCCTTGTAAGTGTGCTAGAAAGAAACAGGGATAGATGGGGAGGCAGAGAGAGTGAGAGAGAGAGAGCACGAGCGCTCCTGCTCTATGCATATCATTTGTCTGTCTGTCTACCCAACCTTTGGTTTGAGTCTTATTTTTAGCGAGTTCCTCTTTTCCTTTATTTTTTTAAACAACTGCTCTGTGTTCTCTTTTTTTAAATATATTTTATGGATTTTTTACAGAGAGGAAGGGAGAGAGACAGAGACTCAGAAACATCAATGAGAGAGAAACATCAATCAGCTGCCTCCTGCACACCTCCTACTGGGGATGTGCCCGCAACCCAGGCACATGCCCTTGACTGGAATCGAACCTGGGCCCCTTCAGTCCGCAGGCCGACGCTCTATCCACTGAGCCAAACCGGTTTTGGCTGTGTTCTCTTTTACATAAGCCCCTGTTGATGAATATTTGGATTGTTTATAAACTTTTGCTCTTACAAATAATATCAAAATAAATACTGTGCAATGTTTTGATTTTCAAGAGATTCTTACACGTAGAATCATTAAGTCAACAGGTGCGTGAAAGGTTACTTTATTAGTTAACTAGATCAGGCTAGGCCGGCCAGGGGCAGGGGCCGTGGGCGGTTGGTGGGCTGGCCTCACCCCCTGGTTGAACTCCCGGTTGAACTCTGGGTCAAGGGGACAATTTGCATATTAGCCTTTTATTATATTGGATTCCAAAGTACGCCCCCTAGAGGCTGCCTGCTCTGCTCGCTCACCCTTAGGGCGACACCTGCTGGTCCATGCCTCCCCAACAGAAGATATTCCCCATTGGATGGGTGAGCAATCAGACTTTGAAATACTTGCTAGTTCACTTCTCTCTTAGTCTAAGCCAGTGATGGCGAACCTTTTGAGCTCGGCGTGTCAGCATTTTGAAAAACCCTACCTTAACTCTGGTGCTGTGTCACATATAGAAATTTTTTGATATTTTCAACCATAGTAAAACAAAGACTTACATTTTTGATATTTATTTTATATATTTAAATGCCCTTTAACAAAGAAAAATCAACCAAAAAAATGAGTTCGCGTGTCACCTCTGACGGCGTGTCATAGGTTCGCCATCACTGCTCTAAGCAGCAGCGAGTGCCTTCTCAGGTGTGTGAGGGCCATGTTACATTCTTTAAATGTCTACTTCTTCATTCACTTTCGCTCGTTCACTTTCCTCATGCACTTTAGAATCCTCTCTGCTGGCTCCCGAAAAATAAATAAGGAACGGCCAGGTCTCCTGTGATCGTGGCAAACGTGCCCATCACCTCGGGGGGCGGGGGGGGGGAGGGGCCTCCCGTGGCCGAGCTGCGGGCTGAGGACTCGTGTCCTCGCGTGTGTCCGGTTCCCTGGGGGCTGCCCGGGGCTGGCCGCTCCCATCTGCTTGTGGTTTTTCTTTGTGTCGTTGGGAGAAACCACAACAGGATGCAGCTGAACAGGGTGGAGAGAAGCCCTGGCCATGCGGACTGGTCTTTACATTTATCACCCCACACCGCGCTGTCCTCCTGCTGCGGGGGGTCACACTGCCCAGCCTGGCCTGGCCCAGCCCAGCCCCAGCCCAGCCCCAGCCCGGCCCGGCCCCACGAAGCGCCACTGCACCCTCTCTCCTCCCAGCCAGACAGTGACCTCGTCTCGGCCTCGTGTAGAAACAACACAAAACCAAGGCCTGGAGAGAACGTCTGCAGTTTCCCCCATGAGACATAATGCCCGTTGCCTCAATCCTAACCTATGCACGGTCCTCCCTCTGGGAAAAAGTACAAATTAATAAAGAGATGGCCTGGCTGGTGTGGCTCAGGGGCGGAGCCTTGTTGACCTATGAACCAGGGGCTCAGATTCGATTCCGGTCAGGGCACATGCCTGGGTTGCAGGCTCGATCCCCAGCAGGGGGCGTGCAGGAGGCGGCCGGTCAATGATTCTCTCTCATCACTGATGTTTCTCTCTTTCTCCCTCTCCCTTCCTCTCTAAAATTAATAAAAATATGTGTAAAAAATAATATAAACTCATCAATTATTTTAAAAAAATTAAAGAGGGAGAGAGAAGTTCGTACCTTCAAAATAGCTCGGAGACAATCACACCGATCTCACTTGAGATGGAAAAGGGAGCATGGAACTCTGAGAGCGCAGTTGGTCCCCAGCCGACCTCAGACGCGGGGAACTACACAGAAGGGAGGAGAGCACGCGGGGTGTCAGCAGCAGGAGCAGGGGACATGGGCTAAGTGGGGAGCTGGTCCACTCTCCTCCGCGGCCCCCAGGGCGGGGCTGACCGTACCCAGGGCGTGTGCTCCATCGTGGCCACTGTAAGGGGACGGCGAGGGCCTGGGAATGCCGGGGTCCCAGCCAGACGAGGCCCCTCATCCGCCGTGAAGGTCTAGGGGGGTG